GTTTGGTTCTAAACTTCATATTCACCCTGTATAAAATGAATTTAAAAAGGAAACACTTTCCTAAAATATGCACGAAGCTGCCAAAATATGCAAAATATGCATTTTTTAATTGGCTTATTTTAATCAAAAAAACATTAGATATTCATAGAAAAACTTACAATTTTGTTGAAACCTTTTAATAACAAATATGCACGAAAAAATCGTAAAATATGCGCATATATATGCACGTATTTTCACAAAAATATGCACAAAATATTAAGAAATATGCTCCAATGTATATCAAATATGCATCGATATGCAAAATTTTGAACAATAAAAAGTCAAACGTTTTTTGCTTAAAGTATTTATTTTTTGAAAAAACTAATTGATGAATTATAAAGTTCTATAAAAATGTGATGTTTTATCAAAAATAAAATTTTTCGAAATTTTTGTTATTTTGTTTTTGAGTTTTACAAAAATACCAAAACCCACCAAAAAAAAACACCATTTTTTCCATGAAGGTCATGATCTAAGGGATTACAACTATCTACTTTATATTAAATAATTTTTTTACATATATAGCAATTTAGACAACAAAAATTTTCACAAAAATATGCACAAAATATTAAGAAATATGCTTGAATATATGCAAAATATGCAAAAGTTTTAACAATAAAAAATCAAAGTTGGAATAAATTTTTATCCTCGAGTACACTAAAGAATAAATAAATTGGTTTTGCCTCAGACAAGCCATTTTTATAACCTAGTAATTAAGCCTTTCTAAGAAATTTGTACTTTTCAGATCACATCACTTTAAACAATTTTGCTAAAATTCATTTGCAGGCAACTACTTATCCACATAGAATGATTTATTCGTTTTATACCAGGTGAATAAAAAGTAAGGAACCAAACATTTTTTGCTTAAACTATTTATTTTTTTAAAAACTAATTGATGAATTATAGTTCTATAAAAACGTGATGTTTTACCAAAAATAAATTTTTTCGAAATTTTTGTTATTTTGTTTTGAGTTTTACAAAAATATTTTTTTTAAATGGCAACCCTCCAAAAAAAACATTTTTTTCATGAAGGTCATGATCTAAGGGATTACAACTATCTACTTTATATTAAATTATCTTTTTACATACAGGGTGAATATAAAGTATGGAACCAAGCGGTTTTATTTTTAATCATTTGCTTCCAGAAAATAATAATTAATATAAATTTTCAGAACGAAATTTTGTTTTGTTTTTGAGTTATGCGATTTTTTTTGTCAAATTTGCAATTTATGTGAAAAATTTTTTTTGAAAAAATTAAATATAAAGCAGATAGTTGTAATCCTT